ACACACTTGATGTCAAGATGTTATGAGCAAAGATGGATGATTTAATATTTAATATCTTATTGCTCTGACCTAACCAAGTGTAACTGACATCACTACTGGTAGCACAACAATAACAACAACAACAACTGACTCTTAATGTTCATTTATTTATCTAATAATGTTCAAAATAAAACTTCACAAACATAGAAAATCATAGAACATAAATCAATCAATTTGTTTTTAATATCAACAATAATTTATTTGGAAATATCCAGATAATTCAAAATAATATAAATGTCCCATTATCGGTCAGTAATTTATCTGCCCGGATAATTATCATGCATCCCTACAAACTACTTCACACGGTCTGTTCAATCCCTCTGGGATTTCACGGGTAGGTTTTTTGGGGATTTTTGCGGCTGAAAATTCTTGATTTCAAAGCAGCTTTTCTAGAAAGAGAAACCTTAAAAAAGTATAATTTATTAAAAATTGAAGGCTATGCGCTAGTACTTGTGTAGTAGTGGTGACGTATGGCTAAAGTTTTGGCACAGGGGAAACATGGTCAAATTTGTGATGATTTGACAAAATTGCAAGAATTCACGTAGATTGGTTGGTTGAATTTTCTTTGTTTCTCTTTATAGGCTGTAAATTATAAATTCATTACAAAAAATACCCAAATTTTATAATTTTGAATAAAAAGTGACAGCCCTCACTGTCGACCGACGGGTTTGGAAATGAAAAGGACAAAATGATGAGCGGAGGAGCCTTGAGGAAATAAAACTCCCTTTGATATTTATAGAACAAACTCAACTTCACTGATGCATTAAACTTATGAATTATCTTTTGTGTATATTCTTAATGTTTTAGCTTTAAATGCAAACTCTTATGATTTAGTATCATAGCTGTACTTACAAACATGCATTATATTTACTAACTGCATGATATTATCTTAATATCACGTTGTCGGACCCTTGGTGGGCGCTGGGAATATATGTAAAAACAAATCCATCTAAACAAGTTTATTTTATCGACTGAATCCTCAAAGTCAGATTTTTCTTCCGACTGATGAAAAACGAGCCAGCACAGTGGAAACTGATTTTAGTCCCGGAGATAAGTCTGATTTTAACAGTGGATGAATAATTGCTTAGATGTGGCTGGAATACACGATCACTTCCTCTATGAATGTGTCATTATAGCAGTATATCATATATTTTTGTACATTTTATGCATCATGTATGGTTGTAATTGTTGCCTAGTAGAGATTGGGAGATTTATTCTTGTCGATCACATTTATCGAGACAAAGACAAATGCTGATTTCTTTTTATGTTTAAATTCAGATTTTTGTTTGAATTTCGACGGTTCAGGGTTTCAAAGGGGATTGTGCAGTTATTATCAGTGCGGGAGAAATTATGGAAATGTTACTTGATTAGTTATTTTTTATTGTAGAATCCATGATATCATTTCATATATGCTGAAAAATGAATATTGTATCTATAGTCAGATGTTATTTTTGCATACAGAGAAGTTAATCGGTGCAATCTAGATATTTTTTTCCCAGAAGTTGCAGCTTCGGTTTCGTCATCATCAAAGTTTTACATTTAAAATCCTTCCAGACATTTCTGACCGAGAAGTTTCCAGATTAACTTAAATAGTTTTGAAATTTTAATTGTTTCTGTTCACCAAGAAACGTTCACATTTCAGCTCATGGAGGCAATAAGGTACTTTCAAGCGTCCTTTTTTCTGAATCATAACTCAGTGAAATCTGAGCACAAAGACGTGATGCACATATTTTTAGAATGGGTGTGAATTGGAGTTTCTGAATATATAATTATATCTGGTAACAATTACAAATAAACACCTGTAAATCCTTTCAGAAATCACCGGAAAGAAATCTACTCCTTTAGCTCCAGAACTTGCCTGAAAATCTTCGCGTTTTTAAGTTTAATTCAGTATCAAACTAATCCAGTGATAGTTGTCTGTACATCCATCGGTACGTTACAAACGGGGACAGATAATCGGTAATTCGGCATACTTTTAATGCCAGTTTGATAAACTATAAACAATACAGGCTAGAAAAACACACAGAGCTTAAGCTGTAGCCCACAGCTAACTCGATATGGGAACTGTAGTTATAAAACAAAGAATAATAATAATCCATTAATAATAATAGTAATGTTGCACTATGAAAATATTTTAAGCAGTATTAAACTTCAGGTTTTGCTTGGAAAGATTTTAAATTACAGGAAACTGTTTTTGGTCCATCTGACTTTTGACAACTTCAGAAAATAATCAGATTAACACGAGTTTCTGTTTCTGGACCCGAATCTGCAACTTCTTCTCAAAGCTGACTGATAAATAATCTTAGTCTTAGCTGGATGCAGAAATCAACCAATGATAAATCCGCAGTATATTAAATAGATTTAGCTCGTTTAAATAGTGGCAGCTGGTGATTTTCCTCATTAACCGCCACATTAAAACATGACGTGTTTGCACTTGGATCACTGTGTACCTGGTACTATAGCAAAACTCAATCAGCACAGATTAGTGTTAATTGGTACAAATTGATCAATTAGAGGTATATTTTTCCCAATGTTCAGTTTGTGAAATGTTGTATTTAAGAATAACTGTGTGAAACTGTAAAAAAAACAAAAAACATCCCTCTTGACTGGTGACTGAAGTCAGTATCGAGTCTTAAAACCTTAAAGTTAAGACGAGAGAAGATCTCAGTAAATGGGGTGAAATAGTTTCACTGCTGAACTGCCTTATTTCAGAATGCTGGACACAAAAAACTGCTTTAAAAAAACGTCAAGGACAAACTTTTATTCACTTTTCAAGATGGATTAGTTGTTTTTTTTGGTTTCAGCTGCAGAACAAAAAGAAACTGAGCTTCTGGTGATGTTTTCTTCTGTTTGTGATGCAACAGTTTGTATTTCTGTGCCAGTTTTAGAGATAAAAAGTTGTGTGTTCGGCCTTCACAGTGACAGACGCATCTGTTTCTGAAAAACTGCTCGAGCTTTGTTTCAAACACACTGACGATGATTTTAACCACTAGACGGCGCCGAGGCTCTGCTGTGAGTTCAGGAAATTAGTTTTAATCTCATTTAAATGGTTCCACGTCCTAAATTTATCGTTTTACACATTTTCTGCCACTAGAGTCTCTTACTGGGGTTACAGAGTACCAAGATCTAAACTGTGGATGGTAAAAAAGTTTATAGACATTTTTAATGCAGAAATGTTTCATATTAAAGTTTTTACTGTTTAATCCTGATTCTTTAATTTCATCCATAAAATGTTGAGTCAAACGAAAAAATCTGCAAAATACTTGAGTTGGACAGTTTCACCGTCGGCTATTGTCGGCACCAAACTCTTAACTTAAAGGACTAATTATTATATTTCGTTATTATGAGTTTCGTTAAAAGAGCGACCACTTTAAAAACGCCTCGGTCTGAGAGTCAAATATTGATTAAAAATGGATCCAAGCAGACGTTTGATGACTGCGTTTACTCTCCACTATGCTCCTCCTCCGTTAGTTCGCTCACAGTCCAACAGCTAACGGACTAACTAGCAAACCTATTTACCGACAGTAGTAAAGTGGTAAAGCCCGCCTCTTGCTTTCATTGATTGGTTGTTTGGGCCAATGCATCTAAAACCTGCTAGCAAAACTTGTCACAATTGATTCAACTAATTGATTGAGACAAGCAGCAAAGTGTCACGTTTGTAAAGAACCAGAAGTTATTTTACTGTTTAACTGTCCTTTTCACCGACGTGTTCATCGAATCCTTCAGTTTGTGTGCGGCGGTCTCAGCGGAGCCTCGGCGCTTCATTACAAAGCCTCTATTTAATTAAATAGTAAACTGTGTGTTTTAATGTTGGAGACTAAAATAAAAATGTTTCTATCGAAGCTGTTTGTTTGTCTTCTTTTAAAGGACGAAGCAACAGGCGGACGTTTGCTGTTCTTCATGTTTCTTTAATAAAGTAATTTTCTAAAAAGTCACAAATCTGTCAAAAAAAAAATCAGAAAATCAAAGTAAACATTTGATTTTTGACATCTATAAATTATAATTTCTGTTATTGAAATTACAACAATCTTTAAACAACGATGGAGCTTCTAGATCTCCTCCTCTTCCTCTTCCTCTTCCTCTTCCTCTCCTCCCCCCTCTTCTTCCTCTTCCTCTTCCCCCACCGCCTCCTCCTCCACCTCCTCTTCCTCCTTCATCCCAGTCCCTTCTGGTCTCCCTTCTGGCCTCCCCGCCGGTCGGTGCCCGTGGCTCGGCACCGCACTCGGCCTGTGGTTGGGGGTTTGAATCCCGCTGTGTGTCGGTGGCTCTCTGCTCTGCTCGCTGGAGGGAGGAGGAAGAAGAAGAAGAGGAGGAGGAAGAGGAGGGTCAGGACGTGTGGAGGTGCTGTATGATCCAACAGGAGGATTTGACTTGTCTTCGTCCTTCAGGTCAGAACTTTCCTCACTGCAGACAGACGGAGATTTAAAGAGAGTAAAAAGCTTCAAAAACAGACATTTTCACATTTTAGACGCTAACAGATGATTTTATTGATCAGAAATTAGTTTTACTGATATTTCTAGGAACTTTGAATACAATTCTATGTCTGTATTATGTATTTATATAGTTTAGCGAAATGTAACCTGTAAACTGTTTTCATACTATAACTGATCATACTAATAAATTAAATAAAATATCTACCACTCACCTGCTGTGACCTCGGTGTGGCAGCGGCGGCGTGTTTGTATCCGTCTCGTCCTTTATGGGTTTGTCCAGGTCGGATCCTCCTCCCTGCGGCTCTTCGCTCTCCTCGCTGGACTGAGGAGACCCTCGTGGTTTGGGGGGTCTGCTGGCCCGGCGGCAGGGAGGTCCGGGGCCGCGGCACCGCTGCAATGGCAGGCTGTGGTTGAAGTGGGCCGCCGCCATGCACTCTGCCGTCGTTTTATCACACACGCACTGCAGCTTGTCGCACACGGAGACACCCTGACCTGAGGGGGGAGAGGGACGGGGTCAAGGTCGAGAGAGGGACTTCAGGGTCATATTCAGCTCTAATAATGTAAAAAGTATTTTATTATTCTGAATCTTGTTTGACTCTCGCCATGTGGCTTTATTTCAAAATAAGAAGAAGATTGATCCCCTGTAGAATAAAACACATTATATACAATATAATATGCCTTTATGTAGATTAAATTACAAAAATAAAAGTTAAATTTGCAGTTTTTCTTTTAATGCTAGCTAAATGTTGGGTTCAGACACAATAACACCCCAACCCGACAGATGTAGATTGCCGGGTTCGACAACCAATGGTTTTATCGCTTGTAGTAGGCCGTGTTTCCATCCAAATGTATCACAAATTTTAACCAAATTTTGAGTAAATATGCAAAAGAAAATGCGAATAAATGCTTGTTTCCATCCGATGTTATACAAATATTAGGAGTTGTTTCATCGAGATAAACGATCAATGTGAGGAAGGTTTCATAAGATCCTGGATGTGTTAAATGTATGTCTGAACTTATTCAGGAAAACTGTTTCTGTGTGATCTTTTTTCTTCTCCTCTTGGCATAAATGGTCTTCCATATAAACTCCTTCATTACTCTAATCATCATTACTTTTATCATACCTTCCATCATTGTATCTGTACTCACATCGAGGTTTGGCGCCCTCGCAGGAGATCTGAGCGTTGAGCTTCCTGTCTGACCTGCAGCCCATCGAGCTGATCTGCTTCAGGCAGCAGTGATGGAAGAAACAGCACCTGATGAAGAGCAACAGAGCTGATGAAGAGCAGCAGAGCTAACAGCCACTAGAGGCTCCAGCAGTGAGTCCATAAGTAACTGTACGAGGTTAATCTTTAAATAACTCACCTGATTACATTATATTAAGGCTTTATTAAGGTATTATGATTTTACAGTAACCAGACTTAATTCAGTTTTGTCTTTTATTACATTAGAAAAAGCTCAATGTTCTTTATTATCTCAGAATTGTATCGCATAAGTGAGATTTATAGTCAATATTTATGACATATTTATTGATGACTCAGTATTTTCTTCCTGACATAAATGAGCTTCCATATAAACGCTGTCTTTTCAAACTCAGGCAAAAAATCAAAATGTTGACTTTGTATTTAATCATTTTGACTCTATAACTGTATTTTATTTTTTACTTCCTGACATAAATTTGCTTCCATATTTTATATCACTTCTTGTCAATCACAGAATCTAACCTTCCTCAGATGATATAACTCATCATCACTTCCTGTATGCTCACCTGTCCAGCTGGTCCCGAGGTGGACCGCCGCCCTCCTGCCCACAGTAGCAGCCGTACATCTCGTACTCGTGCGGGCATCGACCCGTCAGGCAGTGGAGCATCTCCCCGAAAGCCGGCATCTCCCGGCTGGCTCTCCCGTCGCTGCCGTACACGGTGAAAGAGCGACTGCATTCTGATTGGAGGGAAAAACACAGGTTAATTCGTTACCTGATATTAATAACCTCCATCAGCGGCGTGCGGCCGTTTTACCTTTGCTGTCGGCCGGCTGCAGCTGTATCTCCGACAGCCCAACAGACTCAAGCAGGGACCAGGCGAAGAACGGCACTGTCCTCTTCTGAGCCACGTCCCAGTCTGCCAACACACAGCAGCTTAAATATCATCGTTACAGAGACACAGAGGACACGTTAGAGATATGTTTTATGTACAAAATATCAAGATAACCTTCAGAATATTGATTATATTGATGCCGAATTGACAGTTGGTGTATGACGCGCTTTATCTCGTGTTTCTAGAGTTAAGTGTTTTTACAGACGTGTAAGAAATTTGTTAAATTTTACGTTTCTTAAAGGGAGTTTGGTGTAAAAATATTTTCCCTGGAGAGTGCAGGGAGATTTTCAAACAGCTGTGTGTAAGTTTTAAAGTTTCGTCACCACAACAGAAACACTAAAGTGAGATAAGGTTGTCTAATGCTAACTGTTAGTTTGATTAATGGTTTAATAATGTGTGTATTGATTATCGATGGTGACTGATCAGACTAATTATAAGCCTGTTGTACTAAGTTTCTAACAGCAGTGTGCAATTGATTAAATGTAGTAACTTACCAAACAGTAAGTATGACTTAAAAACCAAGTATAAGTAATTATCTATAAAACTTTACTTTGGAAATGTTTATCTGTAAGAAGGTCTAGACTTGATTTAGGTGATTTTCCAGCTGGTTATGTTTCCATTTCCTTCATCCATGATCAATAAAGCTGCTCTTTCACAATAAAAGTTCAGTTTATTGTCATGTTCTGTAGTTTTGACAATCTTCAATGAGCTTATAATTAGCCTGATCAGCAATCATTAGTGATCAATACACACATTATTAAACCATTAATCAAATCAATAACTAACAGCAGTCAACGTTGAACATAGTCATACTTTAGTGTTTCTGTATTGGTGAAAAATGTAAACTACTACAGCAGTTTGAAAATCTCCCTGCACCAAACTCCCTTTAAGAAATGTGATATTTTAACGATTCCTTAAATGTTCGTAAACAAGCAACTCGAGATAAAGAGCGTAACACATTGACAGTCTTCTGATTAATTTGGCACTAATATAATCAATGAACTATCAATATGTTTATAAATGAGGCCTCTGTGTATATAAAACTGTAGCCATGTTCAACCTGCAAACATAAAAAAGCTTCGAGCCGAGAAAGAAAACATGGAAATCAGTTCTAATTATTTAATTTCCTTTTAATGTGAATTTATAAAGTCCATCATGTGCTGGTGTTTCTTCGCCCGTCATTAGAGTTCACAGATTACTTCATTTAACTTTTATATCTTTTTAGAAAATAATTGACTTTATTGAACCCACGAGAGGTTTTTAATTTATACTTTTTATTAAAATGTATTTAACTGAAATCAATAAAGGGGCCAAACAAGGAAGAAGAAAACGCCGTTTGTGTGTTTTTATGTATTTTAATTTTAACTCTAATTTACCGTCGGCCTCTTTCTCCTGCGAGCTGTCTGCCAGCTCTCCTTCCTCACACGGAGCTTTCTCTGGCTGCTCCTCTTCGGATTCGGCCTCCGCCGTCGTGTGCGAGGACGGTGGCGTGGTTCGGGAGGATGTGGCGGCCTCCGGTCTCGGGTTGATGGCGGTTGGCGTCTTGGTTCGGGAGGACGTGGCGGCCT